ATGGTATGAATTTGTTTGTGAACGAGACAACAATCAAAACCAGCGTATATGTTTGCAGTCCAACCTAACTCTGAATTTGAAGTTGATTATTAGAAAAGTAAATTACATCGATCTGCTGTGCTTCATAAAAAGAAATCTGGGAATCTAACTTAAGTTTCATGACAAGAATTGAGATTTGAACTCATGTTTTCACTCGATTCAAATATGGACAAGTCCAAACTCAAATTCTAGAATTGCCTACGGCATATATATATACATATATATATAATATATCGAAAAATTATTTTGACACGTTTGAACGTGATTTTGTGAAACGAATTTCACAATGTAGAAACAACATTTTCGCGAGTTTTCAGTATACCATTCGATAGGCTGAAATCTCTACTCTATTTTATGCTGAAAAACGTATTTCTCAAGACTTTTTTTTATAAATTCTAAAGGGTTTTCAATCAATCGCATAATTTCCTAGGCAAAAAACTATCTGGGCACTAATATTTCTTGGGGGTATGGATGTGGGTATGAGTAAATCTTCTTTCCAGCCAGACCCGCTCCTACATCCAGACAGCCACAGGTGAATTTCTGCTTGAAGATTCTGTGCTTTCAGTTCAGGAAAGAGCCTATCAAAAGGCTTTGAGTCGATCCGCAGATGACTTCATGGTACACGAGACTTTGTGATAATGGGCTTATCCCACTACCTTTCGAAAATCTATCGCAATGACTTGCCTCCTTGATGTAATTCGAAGTAATTGCTCACTGGAATGAATGTCAGTAATGTATACTTCGTGTATACTTTTATTAGTATCCATGCTAAGAAGATCTTTTTTGTTCAATAATCTCTTACACTCCTGAGCGAAGCCGAGCATTAGAAAAATCTGTTTTTCTCAAAATAGTTGCTTCGAATTACTCAAGTGCATTGGACATGAATAGTAACATGTTTACTCGAAATGGACGCTCGGGAACCTTCTATTTCGAAGCAATTGTAGTAACGCCAAAACGATCTGGCAATTACACATTCACAAGTAACAGTACGATCGATAGTTATGGTTATTTGTACACGAACCCTTTCGATCCATTGAATACTACATCTAATCTTCTTGTACATGCTGATGATAATGAGAATGAAACAAGCGATCAATTTTCACTGACATGCATCCTTCAGGCAGGTACAAGCTACACATTGATTTTTACAACGTTTGAAGCTGGTGTAACGGGACTTTTCTCAGTTGTTGCCGTGGGCCCAGGAAGAGTTTCTCTTCTCCGAAAAAATATCACGTCAGTACCAGGTATGTATGATACAATAAAGTTCGTTCTATTTGTGGATCTGTCGATAGCTTTGAGCAATATTCACCGACGTCACTGTGAAATTTAGATCTCACCGTCAAGGTTGTTGAAGGCTTGATAAGCAATGTGATTAGAAAGTCTTTTGAAAACTACAGAACAATGGCGAGTGATAGACTTTTAGGATTGAGGGAATACAGCAGACAGCGAGTACAATATAACAGTCTGGAATATCATTGGTCTTGCTCGGTCGCTTAGTGTGACATACCAATAAATTTTCAATAACTTCTGGTATTATACACGAAGAGAACCCAAACTCGAGTACGGGGCTCGGGTGCGCGCTCGAATTTGGGTTGTGATTAAGTATAAGAGTTGTCATTCGGAATTTTACTCTCTTTCGAGGAGATGTTGTAATTAAACAGTGATTTAGAAGGTAAAGCAAAACTAATACATTTGAAATATGTACGTTTGAGAAAATGAGGGTTAAAGTACACACTTTGATCATGACCTAAAATAAGTATGCTCTAGTTCACGTCGACTAGCAGAAAGGAATCACGAATACCCAGCAGTTACATTACAACCAGGTAAATAAACATAGCATGTCTTAATTTAAGTACTTTATATTTGAAACAGTCTAAACCTAATTTTATTAGATATAGAATTATTATTAAAAGCTTTAATTATTGTTCATAAGTTCATTTGTTACTAAGTCACTAAATCTTTTACACATGCCGTCCTCCAACACGTAAAATTTTCATTCGCAGTCATTCGAATGGCTGGGAATAGAACCGAATATCCAAATACATTTTGCCTTCATGGATTCCTTCAGTTACCGAAACTTTTATTCACTATTCTTTTGAAAATGTTTGTATTGCGATAGCATTTAGTGTGCTGATTAAAAATATCATATTCTTCTCTAAGACGCTCAGATAGGAAAAAAAGATTTCAGGTATTGTCTGAAACACTAAAAAACAGTTTTTCGCTTAAACAACCAGCAAGTTCCAATTTAGATTCGTCGAGAATAGATTCATTCAATAACGAATTGTGTTGTCTACCAAAATCTTTAAGAATGGTTTACGTATTGAAATATTTTTTTTTTGATAAATCCGAAATACTATTCCCACAGGATCTCATTTTTGCTGCATAATGATTTTTCCAGCCTCAGGAAGTTACAGTTTCTATGGGTCCACCAGCAGAATTTTCTTATCAAATATGTCAATTAATGCGTTGTGTCTTATGTTAAAATGTTCAAGTAGAAATTCAAGGACTAAAAAAGAATCGTTTCACTTCAAACAAAATGATATATTTTAAGTCAACACATAGCACCTAGTCGATTGATGTATCGTGCAATATGTGTTAACGGCACTTCATTTCCTAAACTTTGCATCAGAGATATTTGGAATTGACTTCATCAAATAAAATATTGAAGTATCAAGAAAATTCTGCTTCTCTCTTCAAATGGCAGCTTAGAAATTCGAAAGTGCGTTTCTAGTGCTTAAACCGCTCTTCTGAGAGAGAATGACTTTTCTAGATCTCGAATATCTACTTGAAAATGTTATCATTAGACTGAACACACTGCTTGTACATTCGATTAGAAAATCGTGCTTATTCATCGTAGTTCTGCAACGGATAATGGGAGATGGTCTGTCCGGTTCGGTCTAAGATTCTTTGCGGTTGTTAGATACAACCTTTTATAGACCAGCTAACCTAATTATTTTCCGCATTTTTGCGTATGTTTTTCAAAATATTCATTATAGTAGCGTTTATTGTTGCTTGTCAAACTATATTTCTGATATCAACGACTATTTCTATTCAGGAAGATGGATCACAGTATCTGTATTAAGTCAATACTCATCAAAAAATACCTAATATATTTTATCAAGTCGCTTCAATATCAAGTTACCATATCAAAATAAAATAGAATGATTGCTTGCCATTGCAATTTGTTGCATAATCAATTCCATTTTGTATGGATTATACAATATCTTTTCGAGAGACAAAAGAGATACCAAACTAAACCTATTGAAACAGAGAAAAATATATAGAAAAAAGTAGTAAAAAGCAAGCTTTCAGTGTATTCCCAATAGAACTAATGTATCAAACACAATGAAATTACTGTAACTATTTCGAGAAGCCAAATAGGAAATCTTGTCGTCTAAATGACAGACTATTACAAGATCAAAACGCTGCATATCGAAAAGATCGCCAAGTCGCTTCAGGCATCAAAATCTGTTTCTGCGTTGAACTAGGATCGGCATCTTTGCAAGGATTTTCGGAGCACGGAGGAAGATGAGATCAAATGTCTCGTCGTGTACTTCAATCGAGAAAGAAACAGCTGACGTATCGGTTGTGAATTTTCGAAAAGTTATTAAGTCTTGTGCAGTGCAGTCTCTTAAAGCCTTGAAGTCCACTGTTTTCCCTTCGACTTCAACAATCATTCATAATCATTCTTTAAAACAAGCACTGTAATAGTCATACTAAAGTTTTATAAGTGAAATCCACTGTGATTAAGAGCTAGTATGACTGATATCAGTCTCCTGCTTTTGACCAGTATCAGTACCTGTCAGGAAATGTCCTACCGGATTCACCACTGGTGCATCCGTAGGAACAATAGCTTCGTGAGACCGGAAAAATCATTATATGGAACAAAGCAACCCAACTGGGGTGATATCTGATATTTATAACCACCAGAGGGGAGCTCCACATTTCAAAGTTTGACTGTCTTAACGGTAATTTCCCTCTCATACTTAACACGAAGTTCAGGATAGTTTTTAAAGAGATGATCGATATATCTACTTAACTTTTTACATTGTAGAACTTTTCACTTTGAATCTTCTGCTATATTTTTTTAATAAGATGAAATAAATGATGAAAATATAGGATGCGATGTGCGGTCACTTATTTTGCCCCACCCGTGGTTTACTTAAAAGCGAGTAAAAGTTTTGGTTCACAGAATTTTTATATCAAATTCGAACCCAAGCCTGAACATGAACTCGAATCTGGACTTACCGAGCCTGACATTTCTAGTTCAATGCACGCCTAATTGAGGTGATTGAGGGGGCGGGGGTGCCAGGATATAAAAGTGATGGATATCATAGTGAAACACGTTGCCGTGATGTTAATGCAAAAAAGAATCTTCTATGCATAATACACTCTCACACTTATAGCTGGAACCAAATGTTGAACAAAAGTTTTTTCTTTTAATTAGTCATCGCGTCCAATTACTCTGGTGCATTGGACAATAATAGTTCCACGTTTAGTCGGGATGGAACTTCAGGCATTTGGTATTATGAAGCAATTCAGGCAATCCCAAAAAGAACCGGAAATTACACATTCAAAAGTTACAGTGCAATAGATAGCTTTGGTTATTTGTATGCAAATCCGTTCGATCCATTGAATATTACATCTAACCTTCTTGTAAGTTCGGATGATGATGAAACTGGTATAGGTGACCAATTTTCAATGTCATACCCACTTGAAGCAGGCGCAAATTACAATTTGATTTTCACAACGTTCGATAGTAGTCTCACAGGGCGTTTCTTTATCGTTGTATCTGGTCCAGCAAGAGTCATTCTTCGTTCCATGAATACTACTCCCAAACAACCCTCAACTACTACAAGCACCACAGTAGCAACATCTGGTGGTAAGTATTATAGACAAAAAATCTCTACATGGTTTGTTCTAAGAGATCTTAGAAAGTCAGGAGCCAAAAAATACCTGAAATATCCACACTGTGTTTTATGGTACACATTTTTTTCATTGGCAACTGCACTGTAAACAATAAGGTTTTATGAATTTGCAACTGGACATAAACCCTGTTGTTCGGTTTTCAAATACGGGTGTGGGTGTGGCGCAAGTGAGCAGAAGAATCACATCCACACCCCTGTAGAGAATTAATTTTTCTTTCTATGTGCAGTCCAAATGACGCATGAAAAACAATTCCACTGGATGAATAGTTTGAATAGTGTCAAGAAGACCACTTTTCGTGTAGCAGCTCAGATAGATCATATATGGTTCTGAGAAAAATATAGATACGATTAAACACTTACAAATAATTCTGAAACAGCATTCCATATGTATACTCCACTTACCATGAGAGAGTTTCTCGAGGGTGACTATTTTTAATGTGGAAAAAACTTTGGAAAACAGAAAAAAATGTATGGGACAAACGATCGTTTCACATAATCGTACTATGCGATCTATAAAAAAAATTCAATTCTATTGTTCTAAACTAAGACAACTAGAACTTTGTAGAGAATTCGATGGTGCATCTTTTGAGAGAAAGACCAAGGTTTTGTTATGTTCCTAAAAACGGATGCACGCAAACTAAAGAATATTTCAAAATTTTTGCCACACCTGGCATAAGAAATAAATCGTTATACTATGTGAGACTCATAGCTAGCTATTAACTGAAATAATGAATATACAACACTTTCGATTGAGTTATACACATGAGACGAGACAAAACAATGGCTCGATAGTATGTAAAGTCATTATTGAAATGGCTCCCCGAAAACAAGTAGCGATTTCTCAGGAGCATTTTCTTAACATTCAAAATTTTATGAATGAATAAATTTGTAGAAATCTTACAACCAAAAGCTTTTAAACAGATGTTAACAAGACAATGATGTAATTATATGTTGCTACATAATTATTTAAGCTTGATTTTCCACAAAATATAAAATTAAAATACACTTGAGAGAGAAAACGATATGCTATGCTATAACACTGTAAACTAGAAAATAAGTTGTAGAGTTTAATTAAAAATATTCTAAGAATGCCTATATGAATTTCTAAATCTGGAAAATAGCATATTCAAAACATTAAAAATATGAACTTCGATTTTCTAATTAGAAAATCAAATCAAATACAACATAAACAAATAAAATGAAAGCTAAAATAGAACAATAATTAACATAAAATAAGAACTAAAAAGAACAAGGGAACATTATATTTGATCAGTAAAACATAGAAATTTGAGTGTGAGTGCAATTTTTCTGCTCATCTACACTACCCCACACCTTTTTTGGAATTCTTTGATTTCAATTTATTCCATCATTGCGTTCCAGAACTTCTTTGTCTGATGTATCACTTTCACATCGAACAACTTGTACGACTTCCATCTTTTTTACTCGTTGGTACTAAGCTGAATGTAAAAGAAAGGCGCTAAGAGTACATTTATAACTTGTTGTACTTATCAGCTGTACGATATAGAGACCAAAAGAACAAACATGGAAAAAAGTAAATCACCTTATAACACATTTCAATTTTTATATTGATCCTTCAATCTAATTTACTGATTTTTAAATAATATATCAAGAAATCAAAGTATACTAAGAACTGACCACACAAATAATGTACTGATCATTTTACTTATTCTATTGATCGCTTAAACGATAGCCAATTAATTTTTATTCAGTCTTAAATAGATTAATAAAGAATTCTATACAAATATAGAGTAACATTCAGATTGTGGAAAAAACTATTGTTTGAGTCGATGTCAAACGCAGTATTTTGTTAGGTTCATAATAATTAATTTAGACAAATTCATTTTTTCTATCTTTTAATGACAGAAAAATCAGCGCTTTCAACGTCAGACAAAACAACTACATTAGTTTAGCTAAAAATCTCGCCTTTCTAATCTTTGTCTGTCGATGCGTAATGCAATTAGCAAAAGATGCTTCATGAAAATTTCTATGGAGTGTAGTCGAAAAAAGATGCACACATGGATTTGTGTCAAAAATCAAATAAGTGACTAGATTAGATTCTATATACCAACAATCGAATAACTGTTACAAGCAACAATAAAAAGAAATTGAATGGCACTATCTATATGAAAATTAGTTTCATATTTGCAAGAAAACAGTGATGAGATCAAATCATATGTCTCACCACCCTCCATCATTCAGATTTTTATGTTGTACCAAAAACAAAAAGTACTTCGATAAAAATACATTCTAAAGACCTTTTCGAAATCATTTGTCCGCTAGTACACTTACTGTACCGAAAGAACAAATCACAGCTCGTTTGTTGAATTCTTACTTCTGAAAGAGAAAGTTACAACGTATATTATGTGTCTGCGGATACAAAATTGACAAGTTCATTTTGATCGCTTAATATTAGATATACGTTCTAATTTGCAAACATCACTCTTATATAATTTTCACAAAAGAAAGGAAAATAAATAGAGTTCATCACTTGAAATTCCGATTGAATGACTTTTTAATGTCTGCTTGGGTTAACTAGATGTAATTATTTTAAGTTTGATTTTTTACCAAAATATAGAATTTAAATACGCTTGAGAGAGAGAGAGAGAACGATATACTATATGTGTGATTCTTTCGATATAATAATCTTCTAGTATAGAAAAAACTTGTTTTGAAGAATTGCTAAAAAGAAAAATGATCTATTCAAAGAATTTTACTCGATCCTTTCGAAATTATTTCATATACTAGCTATACCCGAGAGAGAGAGATCTCCTGTTATTCTTACGTTTTCTCTTCTAGCTAACATTCCTGCTAATGTCACAGAATAATTTATATAGAGTTTAATAAAAGACATTGGCTTGTACTTATGTCAGCGATAACATTTTTGGAATGAACAATAAGATAAATATGATTTAGCAGTATAACTATCGAGCAATAAGAAAACTTAATTTGAACAATTTCATAATATTAAATGAGCAACTAAAAGGAGAAAAACTACATTATTTTTATTTACAATTGACAAGAAGAAAACAAAAACATATATAAGTGATCACTGTACCAATGAAGTTTCTTTGCTCAGGTGGAGATTTCCAATATTTCAATCTAATGAACATACGTATATACCAATAATGTGCTTGCATATATAATTTTTCATGAATGATGAACGTCAGCATTGTTAGAGTAGACAAATAATATATATATCGTTGTATCACCTTTCATAATATAGATATAGCGTCTTTGTTCAGCTTAACCCAATTGTATGCATCAGTTCGCAATATGACAATGTTATTGATAAGAGACTATAGGATTTCGCGTTCTTTGGATCATTTATTGACTATAGAAAAATAAGACAACTTTAATTCTCTTTTAACTGCTTCAATGCATTGCTAGAAGGTTGAGTTTACATATACCATTTTCAGAATCAGAATTTATACTGTGCTACGTGTTTGCGATTGAATCATTTTTGTATAGAATTACATATAATATTTCATGAAGTTATTCTATACTTTATTTAAATGAGAATTATTCCTCATTCCAATATATTTCTATTCATGATTCATAATGTCCTATAGGCTTATCGCCCGTCGGGCCAACTACTTTGTGGATTAGTTTCTTCCATAACCGTCGGTCTTGCGCTTGGTGGAACAGGTCTTGTCCGCTGCTTCCGCACCAGTCTTTGATGCCATCCAGCCATTCTCTGCATTGTGTTTGATTAGCCTATTATCGTTTATTCTACAGATATGGCCGGATAGTCTTAAATTTTTCTTCTTAACTATGTCTATTATATCATATCTGTCCAGCTGATTCTTAGTACCCTTCGGTAGCATTTCATTTCGAGTGCCAGTAGCTTTTTCTTGTCAGTTTCTTTCAGGACCCATGTTTCCGAGGCGTACAGTAGCACACTGAAGACAAGCGTTACTAGGATCCTTAATTTGTTTTTTATTGTTAGTTTTCTTGCCATTCCATATATGTCTCAAGGATGCCATTGTTCCAGTTGCTTTTCCCATTCTTCTTTTTATCTCTTCTGAGCAGTTGTTATCCCACGTCAATAGGCTTCCTAGATATTCGAATTCATCCACATTTTCTACAGTTTTTCCTCCTATGTGTATGGCCGTGTTCACGAGTAGCCCTGCTTGTTCTGCGGCTATTCTCGTTGCCTCGATTTGTTTCTGTACGGAACTGCAGTCTTCGTCTATTAGGTCAATGTCATCCGCAAATCTCAGGTTATTCACTCGTTCGAGATATGCGATGAACAGTAGTGGTGACAGAGGATCACCTTGTCGGATCCCTACATCTGTACCGAACCGTTCTCCTTGGTTCTTCCCTAATCATCGTACTGCTGACTGGGCTTTTTCGTATATCTTTTGTAGTAGGGTCACCATTTTTTCTTGTATACCGTATGACCTTAGCATTGGCCGTATGACTTTTTGCTTAATTGTGTCGAATGCTTTTTGGAAGTCTATGAAGCAGTTGTATACTTTCTTTTCTTGTCTTTTTGCCTTCTCTGCTATTATAGTCTGAGTGTCAGAATTTGGTGTATTGTATTTCTGTCTTTTCTAAATCCTGCTTTTTCAGCAGTACTTTTCCTGTGTGGTTGATGAGGGAGATCGTTCGGTAATTCGCACATTCGCTTAGATCTCCTTTCTTTGGTATTGGGACTAGGATAGATTTCCCCCATTCTTCAGGAACTGTACCTTCGTACCATGCTCTATTGCATAGTTCGTGAATTTGTCGTGCTAGTGCTGCAATTCCATCTGATCCTGGACTTTTGTTCGTTTTTAGTGTGCGTATTGCTTCTTCTACTTCGGAGTACAGGATGTATATTTCTATTGCTCCATTATAATTATAAGTCAAACTGTAACGGAAAAATATTTAGGTTGCGTAAATATTCTTCAAATAACTATCGATATATATATATAGAATTGCGTATATATCCTAATATGGGATGATGGACAACAAAGTGTAGATCAGTATCAGCTATATATTTTAGCCACTGTGTGTATAATATTAACAACAATTCCACACGATCTTCTTGGAACTTGACTTGTTTA